TGATATCTGCATTTTCTTCTTGAGTGGATCCCGAAAAAAATGTGTATGTCTAATTACATAAATGGAGATAAAGCCAGTGAGGCAAGATGTTAATTAGTGAAGCTAGGTGGAAGGTTATAGAATCCACCATTCTATTCCTGCAACTTTTTATAAGTTTGGCTTTTCAAAAAAAAACTTTTTGAACGGTTTACTGCCAGATTGCTTTCCAAAAAGAACAGAGCAGTCCCTAGTCCTGTCGCTCCTGATGGCACCGATGGACGACAAATGGCATCTTCTCGTTTAATTTGCATTTCCTTGACTATGATTCTAAATTTGCCAGACACATGGTTCCTGTGGCTCTAGGAGTAGAAGTAGGAATGTCTATCTCTGGAGCTGATTGCCTTTTGTTCCGTGAGCCCTCCTGGTCAGGCGTTGGTGGAGTGATCTAAATGCAAATTTAAAGATATTTTCTGTTATAAAATATGCCACTAATTTGCCAACAGCTTCCTTTGTTTGTTTATTTGGGGATTGAGAGCCTTTATATAAGGTTGTGGCTGGGAAGAGGGAATTTAGTCACCAGTGTTAGAGAAACACTACTCTCAACATATGTAGGAACATTTTTTTATTTCCTTTTTGGCTGCATAGCTTTCATTTACCTACTCAGAACCACCTCTTTTTTTGGGGCCACGTTGTGAGGTGCTTCAGTAGGTCTCTCCCTTCAGCAGAAGTGTTTTGTCGTATGTGGAGATTAGCCATTTCCCTAAAAAGCCTGAATTTTTAGGGGGCCCCGGACAAGAAAGAAGGAGGTGGGGGAAGAAGTTACGATTAAGGACGGCATCTCCAGCGTGACTAGCTTCACTGGGTGTCCTGTAGTGAGGCTTTATTTCCCAGTGGAAGGAGAAGCCATTGAGAGACGTGCTCATGAGTGCGCTCCTCAGCCCAAGCACGGGTGCCTCGCTGCGGCGGGTTTCGTTGTTCATTCATTCCTTCACTCACTCGTTTTTATTTAAATTCCAGTTAGTTACCATACAGTGCACTGTTAGTGTCCGGTGTATGTAGAGATTTAACACTTCATACAACTCATCGTGACAAGTGCTGCTGTAGACAAGATGGCCCCATTTCTGTAGGGGCTGTACCACACCCCTCAGAAATGCCCTTTCTCTCCAGGAAGCCAGGGCCTCTCCCCTGCAGTCATGGTCATCTCCTGAGGCCGAGAGCTGCTGTGAAGGGAGATGGGACCTAATTTCCCTCAAGCTCCCACTCCTACCCACACCCTCCCTTTCTGGTAAAACTGCCTGCTTTGGAGTGCCTACATTTCCTGGGAAGGACTGCTCGTCAGCAACCTTTCCACGTGGGTTTGGCTTTGTAGTAAAATGTCATGAAATTTATAATCCGGTGATTTTACCTATGTATTGACATATTCTTGTTCTGGACTCTGCATCTTTTTGGTCAGAATTGAAAGGATAGAAGTGGGAGAGTCTTCTGAAAACCCTCAGATTGTGTGTTTGGGACCAGCCAGTCTATATTAAGTTTGGAGACCTCTCTTGTTGTTTATTTTATTTTAATTTTTTTTAAAGATTTTATTTCTTTATTTGACAGAGAGAGATCACAAGTAGGCAGAGAGGCAGGCAGAGAGAGGGGGAAGCAGGCTTCCTGCTGAGCAGAGAGTCCGATGCGGGGCTCGATCCCAGGACCCTGAGACCATGACCTAAGCCAAAGGCAGAGGCTTTAACTCACTGAGCCACACAGGCGCCCCATTTATTTTGAATAAAACACCTGAATACGTATTCTGACTTAGGGGCTGAACAGGGACTTAGGATACTCGAAACTTGGACCGTCCCAAAAAAATGTGAAATGTAAAGCCACTATTTTAATAAACCATTTGGAAATTCAGTAGCAAACCCTAGAAGTGACGGCAGGATGGAGAGGAAGTTTTCTCATTTTCACATTAGCAGACTTTTGGTTCTTGTCCTAAATGACATTGCAAACATCCTGCTAGTTCTCTGGGATCGGGAGTAAACTTGAACCATGGCAGAGATTTCCAAGGCCTTCTGAGCTTTCAGCGTGAATCTCCTGTTTTCACAAGGCCTTTCTGTTCCCCAGGATGGCAGAATTAATCCAAATGTGAGGGGACTTGGCTAGCAATCTCCATGGGTCTGGCAGGAGAAATGCCAGTGTGTTTGCACTGCCTGGGACATAGCTCTGGGCCAGACACCAGATCTGCAGGCCTCCTGGCCTTAGTTGTCCCTCGACGCCCAGATTACGAGGACCAGATCCACCTTGTGATGATGTCCACTGCCCCCTTTGCCACTGGGGAATAGACCCAGAGGTAGAAGGGCTCAGTTCCCAAGTGCTTCTTTATTCCTGGTGCCTCTGCTGTCGCTCTGCTGAGCTTCTGTTAGTGGCAGCGCTGGCCCCTTGGAGGGGACGAAGAGGCTGTCCGCAGAAGCACTGCTTATTTCCCTCTCCTGCTCAGCCCTGACGATGGTATGCTTTGGCCTGCATCCTGTGCTGCTCGGGAATCCAGTGGTCTTGGACCACCTTTAAATTACGCCAAGAGGCGACCACAATTCTGCACCTGAGCCCTGGATTGTGGTTACACTTGACGTACTGTGTGTGTTGCCATTTTCCTAATGTAGTCTTGAGATGAGACTTTTTTCATGACTATTTGTTGACTTAAGTAACAGCCTCCTTTAAGAGCAACTTTGATGCTTGAATATTCAAACAAATTAACAGTTCCCTTATTTCTTAGTTCATGTATTAGTCAGGAACCGTAAGTTCACATGCCAGTACGTGAGCCCATCTGTGTGACTTCACATATAAATGATGTAGAAGTATGAATACAGAAACACATACGTGCACACAGTTGAACCCTGAGCACAGGTTTGGACTGTGTGGGTCCACTTATATACAGATTTTTTTTTTGATAAATACAGTACTGTAAATGCATTTTCCCTTCCTTATGATTTTCTTAATAATAATTGCCTTTCTCTAGCTTACGTTTTTGTAAGAGTACAGTTTATAATTCATCTAACATACAAAATGTGTCACTCAACTGTTGATGTTAGCAGTAAGGCTTCTGGTTAACAGTAGGCTGTTAGTAGTTAAGTTTTGGGGGAGTCAAAAGTTATATTCAGGGACACCTGGGTGGCTCAGTTGGTTGAGCGGCTGCCTTCGGCTCAGGTCATGATCCCGGCGTCCTGGGATCGAGTCCCACATCGGGCTCTTTGCTCGGCGGGGAGCCTGTTTCTCCCTCTGCCTCTGCCTGCCACTCTGTCTGCCTGTGCTCATGCTCTCTCTCTCTCTCTCTCTCTCTCTAACAAATAAATAAATAAAATCTTTAAAAAAAAAAAGTTATATTCAGACTTTATCTTATTTTTTTAAAGATTTATTTATGTTACAGAGCCAGAGTACGTGAGTGGGGGAAGGGTCAGAGGGAGAGGAGTAGAGAGAGAGAAGCAGACTCTGTGCTGAGCACAGAGCCTGACATAGGGCTTGATCTCACAACCCTGAGATCATGACCTGATCTGAAATCAAGAATCAGTTGCTTAACTGACTGAGCCACTCAGGCATCCCGATAAGCAGATTTTAGACCATGGTGGGTTAGCATCCCTAATCCCCATGTTGTTCAAGGGTCCACGGTATATAGATAATCTTTGTGAAGAGTCAAGATAGGAGGCGCAGAATGCCTGGCACCTGACAGGTAATATGTCTTTCTGTCTCTCTCTCCGCATATATGTACGTGCACAGATGTGCACGCTCTTTATGTGTGTATATATGTGTGTATACACACACGCATGCATATCTAGAGAGCACCTGTCAGATGCCAGGCATTCTGCATTTCTGCTCTTGAACTTTCCCAGGGATCCTATAAGACAGGGATTACTGTCACCATTTCCTAGATGTGGCACCTGAGACTAGGAGAGGCTAAGCCACGTGTCAAAGACCATATTACTAGTGTTAAGCGGTGATATCCAGACACGCACTCAAGCCCTGGTGATTTCAGAGCCCCTCTTCGTTCCACTGCATCACAGCAACCCCTTTGACCTGTGGGCCATGAGCAGGGTGTCTGCTTGAGTTAGGAGGCATCCAAATGCCCTTGGTTCTCCTTTCCCTGGCCTCTCACAGACATGTCTGTTAACTGACACCTGGCATCCCAGGTGACATATGGAGATGGGCAGATCATGAGCAGTCAGCTCAGTGCACACCTTGCCCAGAAAAGATTGTCAGCAATGGTGCTTTCTCTTATGTTGCATGATGAGCAGCTAATGATGGGAACAGCCTTTAACTAGATGTGTATTTTCTATATTTACAACATTAGTGCTTCACAAGCTAGCTGTGGTAAAGGGCCAGTTTTTTTCATTTCCCATCTGTTGAGGACTGATATTTAAAAAAAACAAAAAAACAAAAAAACACAACAAAAACGTTGTGGCAATTTGTTATAAAAGTTCCCAAATGCTTGTTCTCAAATTCTGTAGTTATCTCATTGTGGGCTGGCTGGCGGAATAGTTTGCGGTCCAGCACTGGTCCAAGGGTGCATCTCGAGTAGCACTCTACTGTATAATTTAGAGGAGGCTTAGACTTCAGAAGAAATGTACAATTTCTATAAGCCACAGTTTCTTTAAAATTTAAATTTAGAGTAATAGATAGTGTCTCTGTTTAGCATTCTAGTTTTTAATATTGTGTCTACAACTTTTTTAAATTACAAAAGTAATTCATGCTTGAAACAGAAACTCAAATAGGACAAAAATATCCAAACTAAAAATGTTCCCCTTAATCTCAGTCCCACCCTCCAAATGACTGTCATCAATTCTCAAATTGGGAGTTTGTCTCACATTAAAGAAAGAGGGGTGTGGGGTGAGGATTTATGAGGGGGGAGGGATGGGAGAGGCATTTTAGAAATTTTTTATTCTATTCTTTCTTGATTTTTATTTCAAGGGAGAATGTGTTATTACTCTGTGTGGATTCAAATTTATCTTTGATTTCCAGCATATTCTAATGCTGCTTCTCTTTTGTTGCAGAGCCAGATCACGTTAATGGACATACCTGTGTTTAAAGCCATCCAGCCGGAGGTCTGTACTTTGTCCTTCAAATTGTTCTAAACACTGTGGCTGGGAAGGGGAAATTTAGTCAGCCACGTTTGAATGACTGTTGGTTTCTCTCTTGAAGTCTCTATAAACATATCGTTGATTTAAGCCCGTATTAAAGAGTGCATCTGTTAGAGTGCATCCAGGAGCTTCTCATTCTTGAAGGTGCTCATTCTTTGAGCCCGGTGTTTGGGTTCTGCAGAGAATGTTGGTGGCTCTGGTCCATTCTGGCAGGGCTGGAGGCAGGTGGTGCCCAAGGCGTCCAAGCCTGAGCCAGGCTTTCCCGCACTGATTCCGTTTCCCAGGCTCCTCCCGTCGAGAATGGTCGCTGTCGAGAACGGGATGTGAGGGAATGTTTTTCTGGAGAGCTTTCTTTTTGTCGATCCCAAATTCTGGTGGTCGCCTTGTTTCTGATTTTGAAACCAGTTGCCACAGCAAAACATACACATATTTACATTAAGAGCATATGTACATTTTTAGAAACAGCATATTCAATAGAGAGAAAAAAGTTGGTTTTGGTCTTTAAAAATATCCTGGAAATGTTTAGTAGTTGATAACAAGGCTTTAGAGTTGTTTTAGTTAGGGTTCTTTTTTTTTTTTTGGCAAGTAATAGAAATCCATTTCAAAGTAGCTGAATAAGCAGAAGAGGAGTTTATTATGGGGATAAAGGGACACTTTATGGAATCCATGAGCATGGAGTTCAGGCAGCTGGAGAGCCAACCGAGACGTAAGCTGTCTCTGCCTCTTATCTCTGCTTTGTCCTCTCTTTGCTCTCCTGCCTTCTTTCTGGTCTGTTCACATGGTCCAACCTGGTGCTCCTAAGGGCTTGCATTTACATGGTCCTCCTTTAGGCCACCTTCCAGACTTGAGACCAGCAGCTCTCAGTCCAGCCCGGCGGAGCCACATGACTCATGCTGGCTCACGACCCAGGCCAGGAGTATGTGGTCAAGATGAGCAAACACAGCCAAGGGGACCCGGTCTGGTGAATGGGGTGCATGTGTCAGAGAAGAGGGCTGTACGTGGGGTGATAAGTCAGAAAGTGTCTGCTGCAACCTGGTGTGAATTCCAGAACTCTCGTGACATGCAGCCCTTCCTCTCATAGTATGGTAGCTGTTAAGGCTTTGAGAAAAGCAGCATATTTTAATACAAAGCCAGACAAAGGATCCAGGCCTTCTGAGAGCTGGCATCTAACCTACTGCAAATTAAGAGGAAGCTAGTACTTCTAGCTGCGCTCAGCACTTATGCGAAGACGTGGCAGTGATTTGTAGGACTGTGCACGCGCGCACGTGTGCTGTGCTCATCGGGTTTGGGGAGCAGAGCTATGTTTGCTGTTTTGAATTGTCTGACTTCTAATCTTTTACTGTTATCTTCTAACATGAGATTACCCAGTCTTTCTAATTAAAAAAAATAAAACAACTCTACCTCTTGGAGACGTTTAGGGGTGTAATTGTGTGAGGGTTGCTTTAGTTTTCTGCTTGAAGTTATTTGTGATCATGTTCTATGCTGAGCTTTGCTCTGGAGCTCTTTAGACATGTGGATCTTTTTTTTTTTTTTTTTTTAAAGATTTTATTTATTTATTTGACAGACAGAGATCACAAGGAGGCAGAGAGGCAGGCAGAGAGAGAGGGGAAGCAGACTCCCTGCTGAGCAGAGAGCCTGACGTGGGGCTCGATCCCAGGACTCCAGGATCATGACCTGAGCCAAAGGCAGAGGCTTTAACCCACTGAGCCACCCAGGCACCCCTAGACATGTGGATCTTTATTCTTTGTCCTGAGCATCTGAGAGAGGAGCCCTGCTCGCCATGAGCCCTGAATCCTGAACCTGCGTGTGCCCAGGGACGCTGGCCTGGCTGCTCAGGCTCATCATAGGATGGAAAATGGTGGGGACTAGGGGCAGACCAAGGCTTTTCCCCAGGACACTGAGGTTTGTAAGGTGTCTCAACCAAGACATATCTTGATTCAAATTGTGATAAGACATTAAGGTGGAAATGTTTTGCTTTCACGATTTTTGCTTGGATCTGTGGTTGTCAATTGTGGCTGCATATCAGAATCACCTGGCGGCCTCTGAAACACGCGGTGCCCAGGTTCCACCCTCAAGCGTTGAATCTGGGTCTCTGGGTCAGGGCCTGGAGCCCAGACAACCCCATTTTGTAGAAAGTTACCAGGTGATTCTGATAGAGAATGAGGATTAAAAACTGGTTGCTTTGAGGTATCTGGAGAAACCGCAAACTTGAATGTCTTGGATCTATATTAGCTAAAAATAGAAGAGTTTGCTCCTCATCGTCACTGTCAAAACTGTGGTTAAAAGGAGGATCCTGGGAGCTGCCCCAGCTTTTTTTTGCTGTTGTTATTGTTGGTAGCAGACTGAGAATTGGAGTTTTTCTTCTTGATGATGCCTGCCATGTTGTGGCTGGGCCACCCCAGAGTTGGAGGGATATGAATAAAGGACAGTTACAGGTTCAACAAGACTACGTGCATCTGTGCCCCGTAGGGTTAGAGAGGCACCGGGCATCTCTGTTTCAGTGAGTTGTAGCCACTATTCTTTTTGATATGTAAATTGTCCTGTCTTTAGCCAGTGGGAGCCTTGTCATGTCACCACCTGTATCCCCTTAGCACGGTCCCTTGGTTTGGATGGCTTCCTTGCTCTTTGGTGCCACGAGCTGTATCAACATTACGTCATACGACTCCTGCTGAAGACCTGGAATCGGGTGTGCCTTCAGGGTGCTGGTTTCTTTTGCTGGAGATGAATATTCAGAAACCACAGTCTGGGCGAAAGGGCGCTCAGGAGAGGAGGTTGCAGTTGCTTTTAGGCCCTTTTGGCGGCCCGGGCTGAAGAAATGCCTGTTTTTTCAAAGGAGAAGTCCTGGCGCACCTGGGTGGCTCAGTTGGTTGAGTGTCTGATGTAGTTCCTGCTCAGGTCATGATCTTGGGGTCAGGGGATTGAGCCCCATGTCGGGCTGTGTGCTGAGCGTGGAGCCTGCTTGGGATTCTCTCTCTCCCTCTCCCTCTGCCTGCTTGTGCGCTCTCTCTCTCTCTCAAAAAGTAATAAAAAATAAAAGGAAAAATCAGGAGTTCATAATGAGGGTAGGTGGTGTTCTTTCTCCGCATTCTTCCTTCCCTCTTCATCCTTGTCATGACTTCCCTGTGGGTGGTGTCTTTCTCATCCTATTGACTCTGGGCTTGGCCCTGTGCCTTGGGCATAAGTGACCGCATGGCACGTGGGGAGTGAGAGGCATGACCGGCCCTCCTGGAACTCTCCGTGATACGTGGGTTGCTGTTGCTTGTTTAGCCCGAGTCCGCAAATGCGGATGTCATAGATGACCTGAACCAAACCCAGAGCCTGAATTCCAGCCTAACCTGGCCCTGCCCCGGGGAGCCCAGCAGAGACTGACTGAACTGCAGCCCTTCTACCGACCCCCGAGTGTGAAATAAATATTGCTGTTGTAAGCCTCTGAGATTTGAGGGTTGTTTGTCATATCACATTATCTTGTTGGCATGTGACTGACACAATGTTGATCTTTCCAACTCAAATCTAACATTACAGTGTTGGGAGCTTAACTCCTTTGATTTTTGTATGATTTCTTTTACAATGACAGTTTTGGTTTCTAACAATAAATGCATTTTTGTACTATCTCATCATATATGTGTGTGTGTGTGTGTAGACACATACACACATACAGTAGTTTAAAAATGATAATACTGGTATAATATTAACCAGCAGACTACGGATTGCAGTTTAGCATTTCTTTGCAGTTCTGTTTGTCTTCAGTACCTTTTCTTCTCATCTTCCTCCCCCGTACCACTTCCACACCCACGTGGGCCCCCCTTCTTGACTTCCCTAAAAGGCTTTTGGAAGCACCAGGACAGAAAAGGAGGGCTGTGCTCCCTCAGCTCTGGAGTCTGCCTTCCGAGAGACCCTGTTCGATCCCAGTGCCTGGAACGCAGTGGATACTCAATATTTGTTGAATGAGTGGAGAAGGAATGAATGGGAGACGCGCAGGAGCAGAATGTTATCTGGCTGTGTTTAGGCTCATTGCCAAGGGTGGGGGGTGGGCCAACTGAGGGAACATTATTACCAGGGTGCCTGTTTTGTGGTGGAACTGCTTCCCCCAAAACAGGGGTTTTGCCTGGTGAGCTCAGCCTTTGAAGATTCCAGTTTCCAAATGCTGTTGATAACTGAGGGTAGAACTGTGGCTTCTGCTTATTTCTGCGAGGGAGACCGCAAGAGCATTGTCGCAGGGCTTAGAGGAAGCTTGGCAGACGGTGAGTTAAGGACTGGCAGAGAACAAAGAAAATGGAAGTTAGCAAGTAGAGAACCATAACTGCCCCGTTCCCTGGTGACTCTGACAAGTGACCAATTTTATCAAGCACTGGCAAGTTAATGCAGATACAGCCTCACAGCATAATGGCTCACAGCTGGGTTTAGCTTCTATGCGGTGGCCCAGAACCATCACCACTGTGGTGGATTCCTAGCTGCCGGGACTCGGGCTGAAGGAGGCCTTCCTGAGGGGTCCCGGTGGTGGCAACCTTGTGTGGTACATTTGTGGGGTGGCATTTTGTCCCCACCAGTATTCCCTCCCACATCTGTCATTATGCCCAAACTCTCAGCCCATGGAACTAAAGGCCCAGCTGTTTCTCAGAGGCAGTGGAACTCTCAGAACTGGTTTTGTCATTGGTTTCGATGTCAACAGGGAGCAGTATCAAGGGGGACCTACCGTTCTTAGAAGGTGCTGAAAATGAGCACAGTCTGCGCGTCCCTCCACCTAGGGCTCTGTCCACACTGGGCCAGTAGGTCCGCTCACCGGCATGGTGCTCGAGAGCAGGGGCTCGTCTGACAAAGCCAGGGGTGGGGCCTGGCCTCACTCTTCAGGATGAAGAGTGAGGCCAGGCCCCACCCTGAAGAGTTCAGACTGCGGACAAGTTGTTCATTCTCTTTATGCTTCCATTATCTTGTGTAGAGTGGGGGAAATCACAGTTTTTACCTTA